GCATATCACTCAGACATCCACTATAGAAATATCATAAAACGGGAGTTTGAACAGAAAAGAGAAGAGAATACTTTCAAAGGCAAAGAATTATCTGGCATTAATTATTAAAAAGACAGAAAAAGGAACACAGATTTATTATTATTTAAATATCAAAAGCTTTACTAATCTACTTTAGTAATCAGAACTAAAACTTATTTACATAATCTTACTTCTTACTAATCTTACTAATGTTATAAATGCGAAAGTTTAGATGGATGGATAGATGGATAGATGGATGGATGGATGGATGGATGGATGGATGGATGGATGGATGGATGTTTGTTAGCGTTTGTAGCCTAAACGGCTGAAGGGATCTCCATGAAATTTGGCACAGGTTTAGAGCATAGTCTGGAAGAACACATAGGCTACTTTTTATCCCAGGATAAGTTACGGTTCCCGTGGGATTCATTGATCTAGTTTTTTAATGTTTACTCGATCATTCTGCAACGGTTCAACATATCTTGTTGAAATTCGGCACACATATAATACAAAGTCTGGAGTACACATGGGATAAGCTTCATCCCCGAGAAATGTCCGGTTCCCGAGGGATACGTAGCTTTTTGTAATTTGTATAGTTTGTATGTTTTCTAATACCACGCGTACAAAGTCGCGGGCAACAGCTCGTATATTATAAATCTAATAAAATATTATAAATCCACGCACGTCATGGAGCTCGCCGTGCAGAACCGCCTCCCGGACCACGTCACAGATACCAGCCTCACGTCATTTAAAAACAAGCACAAGTCATGGCTAATACAAAAAACCTTCTATGGTGTCGAAGAATTGTTCCTACCATGATTGTTTTATGTATAATTTTTATGCAAAATATCTGTAGTGTTTTTTCTATATTTTTAACGGACTTGTAACTTTCTTACCAATAAAATACTTGTATTTGTATTACATAAGATAAACAAACATAATCATTACAACTGGGACAAAGGAAATCACTAGACAAGGGCGAATTTAAAAATAGACATCGAAAACAGATAACAAACTTTCGAGTTTACCGTAAACATACCGTGTTATAAAAAATCGCTTTACGAGGAAAACACCGAGTATATATAACACATATTAACTACAAATTCAAAAATGTATACATCAACATGATTAAAAAATCATTAACATCACATATAGCTATTAATTCTAGATCTTAAATGAATGACCTAAATGGCTGTAATATTATTCAGCGGTGGTCATAGTTAAAACACTAAACAGTGTAATTATATTTTTTGGCATAATACAGATGATAACATAATCATAAAGATATGACAAGAAAAAATGCTTTTTAACATAATTTGGATGACCAAATCATTATGGGACAAACTTAAATTCAATCATTAAATTTAAAACATCTGCACATCATCATTACAATTAAATAGTACATACAAATTACGCTAATCATCACTATTGTGTACTAGCTTTCGGCCGCGACTCCATCCGCCTGGTAACAAAAAAAATCAAAACCAGCCTATGTGTTCTTCCAGACTATCCTCTACATCTATGCTAAATTTCATTGATATCCAGATATATTCAGCTTAGACTACAAACTCTAACAAACATCCATCCATCCATCTAAACTTTCATATTTATAATATTAGTATTAGTATGATGTGTTTCTGTAAAATTCCATTGTCAAAATCTGTTCATATTTAAAAAAATAATCTATCTCTGGCTTTTTTAATAACAATAATATGCCTCAATTCATTTGTTTCCAATCACAAATTAGTTTAAGAAATTAAGAAAATATTAAGCTTGTAGTAACTAAGTATTTTACTAAGAATCAATTTACTAAGTCAATTTCTTTTCCAATAAATTGATTACACAATTATTTACATAGTAGTATAATAAGTTACTACAGTAAACTAAACCCATGCAATATGTAATCCATATTGAATACTATCCTATGAGAATTACATTATATTGCATCATCTGAGTTACAATTCAACAAGCGGTACCAAAAACACGCACGCGCGATATCATTTACAGATTAAAAATACAATTTTCACTATCTTTATTTATTATCTGTGGAAGAGTGCACGCAAAACAAATATGGCCAACTAATGACCTCGCAACTGTTTGTTTACTCTGTCAATTGATAAAGGTGTTTGTTTATATTATTTATAGCAATCAGAGAAAATAATGAATGAAATAATTTACTATCTTTAAGTGGGTGGTCTAAATGAAATTATGAATTAAAACATATTTATAGAAGTGTTATACAATAAATTTATAGCATCGACTGAGCAATTATTGTTACAATTTGCTAGTTATATTACTTGTAACATGCACCTATCATTGAATTAAAAAAAATTGAACTAGTGAAATGTTGATGCTAAGAAACAAATATTTGTAACCTAAAAATACCTCTAAAATTCCATTAGCCATTAAAGCATTGAATTATTTCTGGGAATTAATTAAAATAATTTACTGTATGAATTTTAATCTTTATTTAAAAACAGAAAATAATAGAGACAACTGACTATTTAGATATAGCTGCATATATTAACTTGTGTGCTTTTATTATCTACATGACATATACTTGTTTAACAACACAGTCTTCCACCTTAGCCTTACAGAAGTTTCTTTTTAAGCGTGAAAATACATAGCCTGAGGTGTGTTGTAAGTTTAGTGCTTTTTGTTAAAGGAAGAATTGTTCGTAATATGTGCCACAGGGTGGTGTGTTTTTTGCGCTTTATTATAATAGCATGAATACCTTACAACATTATGTGTTACACGGAAGAGCGGGACTTAATGACACAAGTGCCTTTTGGTTACTTAAAAGGAAGTCTGACTGACTAATTAAAAAAAACAACTTTTAAAAAGACAGGATTATATATTCTATCAGTTGTTTTGTTTTTACATATGTACACTGGTTACTCTGGTATATAAGGTATAGTTTATGTAATCCTTCTTCAGGTTGCAATGTAGTTGGCATTTTTTTTTTATAACATAAGGTGGCAAACGAGCAAGCGGCCACCTGAATCCGCCAAAATGGCGAAGCGACCGCTGCCCATAGACATCCGCATTTGGTACCAGTTTTTTCAAAACTAAAAACTATCCAGTAGTTATTTTTATTTGACCACAACTGATCATAAACACACAGTAGAAGATTTTCTTTATGTGTTCATTACTTTTAATCAATAATACTTGATAATTCATGATATTTTTAAGATTGACTACACAATGTTTTGAATTATAAATGGAGAATAAACAACATTTATGCTTTTCTCTAGAAATTATTTGATTCTGTTTGCAAACATACCACATTAGATAATATATGTGAAGCATTAAATAGCATGATGTCATCAATAAACAAGTGATGACTAACTGCTTATTTTGTGTGACAATTATGTATTTTTATACACACACCCACACAATACGAAAATAAAATTTGGACAAATTCCCAACATGTTACATGTAAATTGTTGACTATTCATAATGCCATTACAGGAAAATCAATTACAAATAAAAACTTAAAAGGAAAGCATTGGAAGAAGCTTGATGACAACATACACAAAATATGTTGCAATTATGTTATTACATAATAAGTATTCTAGAAAAGATAACATTTAATAGAATAATAAATTTTCAACTAACGAAATGTAAACAAAGTACTACATAATTGCTTGACCTTTATAAAAAAAAATCAATCAAGTAGGTATAAACAAAAAATAATGTTTACAAACAAAATGATTTTTTTTATAAGGTTAGGAAATGCTTACCTTTTGGGCAGCAACATAGCTGCGGACCCCTTGCGCTGGAACACACCGTCGACGAGCACGCCATTCTTGCTGTTGCACGTGAGGAAGAACTCGGGGTGGTCATAGAACAGTTCTAGATGCCGGCGCGATATAAAACTCGAATGTCCCATGTTTACATCGACCTGACCGCGGCTCGAATTCCGCCCTATAATGACACGTTTTTGCCGAATAAGGTACTCAAAATCCCGACCGTCAAGTCTCGCGATGGCGATGGGCGCCGGCTCTTGCGCCCATTGCACCTTCGAGGGCGAAGCGGGCGCTGACTTGAGCGCGAGCAGCGCCCATGCGTCGCTCTCCGAGCTCGGCGTGAACTGAGTTTGAGCCATCTCCGGCGCGTGTTTCACCAACGCTGTCCCGCGGGCCGCACACCCTCACGATGGCACATCACAGCTCCAACGAACCACCCGGATATCCGGAAACTGCCGAATCCGTCCCCGTTCTACACTTTGAGGTTACAGACGGGACGCACATGCGCAAAGTTTCAGCTAGTGCGGTAAACAAGAATTATATAAATCACACCACCACGTGATAAAACTGTATACATATATCTAGTCCGGAACCGTGGATCGATATTATTCGGCGTCGGTACACGATTCTCTATAGAAATATTAACTTTTGAGGTGTTGCACAACAAAATTTTCGCAATTGGACCAAAATTAGACACTAAAGTAAACACGAGGCGAGAACAAAAATAACCAAAAACGTCAGATCGGCATACGCAGTATACAAGGTTTCGTGCGCCATCTGTAAGACAACAAAAAGCAACAAATTCTCTAATTCCATTTTACGCAACTGATTTTACAATCAGAATATTCTTCGGTCATCATTACCGTATTCAGAACTTTTTGTTGAAAATGCTGGATGGAGTTTTCTGATGGATGATGAAAATTCATAAGAATAAGACAAACTTAAATGCCAATATCTGAATGTTATCTGACAAAACATTTTCCTAGCTAGTTAAAGCTCGTAAAGTTGTATACCTTAATTATACTGAACATTGCTTAAAAAAAAATTAAAAAAGGTGCAACTGCTGTTTTAATAAGTAATATTTTTATTTCATCCACCAACCTCACCAAAATCTAAATTCAAATCGTAGGAATCGCCTTGTCCGAATCGTATATTTATAAAACTTTTTTAATGTGCGTGGCTCGCGGTGTCTTGTTGCTTTTTACCTTTTTGGCACTACGAAGAAAAAAACATTCTGATTCGAAAAATTTTTGACATTTGACATGACGTGACGTTCTGTGAAAATTCGTTGTTTATTTTGGCAAAAAAATAACTTTCCGTAAATAAAAAGACAAGTAATATTAGTTGTCCGTTTAAAATTTCATTCCTATTTCCTTTATTCTCATGGTATTTAGATATCTTAAAATCACCAAGTACATCTTCTATAGTGGTGAGTATTAAACATTTGATTCATGTATAATTTGATAGGAGATTAAAAAACAAAAAATGTGTACAAAATACCTTTATTTAAATTCAAAAACATTATTATTTCATTATAATTAAATTAACTTAAAAAAAACAAAAACAGTTATTTCAATGAACGAAACAAAATACTATTTGCTTTTTAATCGTCAAGCTGTGTTAAACTTGCCACACCTCTGTTTATCCAATGTTTCTCCGGTATATCCGTCCTCAAGGTTATATACATGACAAAGTTACTTGAATGTCCCGTGGTGGCTAGGACACCTCTTCTCTCACTAGTTTTGTAGATAGGACAAAAGTAACTCGGTGGTGGGTTGAATTTTTCAATCAAAGCTGGTTGGAACCATATTATTGGTATTGTGTCAAAGAGGATTTTTGGATATGATTCATCCATTTGCATTGTTTCACGGTTCCATCTGGCTCCTTCCAAGAATAATCCCTGTAGACATAAAACACTGACATAAATATTTCTTTAATACAAGGTGACAAATAAGCACAGAGCCATTGGAATTAAACAAAATAGGTAACTGCTGCCCAAGGACATCTGCATATGCAGATATGTTGCCTATCTTTACACCAGATTAAGGCATGTTGAGAAAGAGGATTTTTCTCTTACCCATTCATCCTATCCCACTAACAAATCCTTATACTTCCATCCCATTTCTTATAAGAAAATGGAAAGAAAGAATGAAAAATAATTTGAATTTCCTGTGAAAGTATCTTACCATATTCTTAATTCTAGATTTGAAGATTCCGGACCAAAAACATAAAACTGTAACGCCATGCATAATACTGTACCACAACTCACCCAAACATACATACTGTGTTCATGACCCTGATTATCCATTTGTTTCCTTTGCTGCATGTATTAGGACAAGAAATTTTGAAACACAGTATAGAAATGTAACACATTGTCATATATCTCACATAATCCCATGAGACACTATTTGATTTTAAGAAAATGTAATCTCACCTTACAATAAACTCCAAATGTAGGTTCTTGTTCACATTCAGCCTCCATACTAGTGATAGTGAACTCGAAATGTACATTGTCTATCGGTATGCGGTTGTGTCTTGAGTAGTTCTGTAGCACACCCGTCAGGAATGACTGCGTAAAATAGAACCCTGATATCCAGAACACTGATGGTGGACCCTCATCTATCCAATCTTGGAGGAATTTTAATCTGGCAAACAGAGTAGTAGGTTAAAAATTATAATTTTGACCTGCAAGTTTCACAGAAAAAAACTTTAGCAAACTATTCAAGATATTGAGTAAATGCATGCCTTACTTAATCACTTTAAATTTTCTAAGAACCAAAAATAATTCTTGAATTCTCTTTTTAATCTTAGAGCGTATTCGCACGGGCGAATTTTTAACGTTGCGTTCTTTGCTATATTTGGCATTGGCTTACGAGCGATTAACGCTTTGAAACCACTTTTGATTTGTTCGTCTAGTGTTTAAAATACAACACTGTGATCAAAGTCGCGTGTTAAAAGCCATATGAAGTAATATATGAAGCTCCATTTGTATCTATTTGAAGGTATTTTATCGAGTGTTTAAAAACCGCCTGTGTGAATTGAGGATTTGATACTGGGTGAAACTTTAACATGTATTGTTTTTTAACAGAACAATGACCGAGCAAGTGTTAGGTAAAGAGACATGGCCACTGGAAGCAGAAGCAGCGTTAAACGATGTGCGGAAACATGTTAAAGAAGCGATCGTCGAGCCAGACTTGAGGAGTACCAACCAAAAAATATACTTAAAAATAACTACCCATGAAGATGAAGTGTACACTGTAGAGATGTCGGCATCAGGATTTAGTGTTGTTGAGTGTCTTAATAAAAGATGTATTACATCGGAAAGGAAATATGAAACTCTATATGCATTATTAGATAATATTAGCCAAAAGTATAGAGAATCCTTTGGTGAAGAATTGACATTGAAACTAAGAGACTTGGAAAGGAAACAACAGGGTTGAACTTTTATTTTTAATAATCAAAATTATAAGTTAAATTGCCATATTATTATTCAAAAACCTGTTTAAATGTAAAAATGTGTTGTATTCTGCAGGAAATCTCATAATTAATTCCTATACAACCCTTAACGTAGTTATAACTGTACAGTTAAATTATGTCTACACTCGCACAGTTTTAACTGAAAAGTTTGTTCAGTTAAACTGGCGTAATTGAATGTTATTACTTTTTGTGTGTATTTTATAAATACAATGTGTACTTTTCGTTCCTTTTCTATGTGAAGAATTTAATATGTAAGATTTGTAAATTGCTCAATTAATATAATATTTTTCTAGCTTTACATACTAGAGCCAGATAATTTGTTTTATGGTGTTATTGGAATAAATTCTCAATTTTGTTTATTTAATTGAAATTTTAAGTGTGTTCGCATTATATTATGTTAAGTATTTTGAAATGTGTTTTAGTACAAACTCTGTATTTAAATGTAATTTCCCCTACGTATGTTTTAATTGTGTCATATTATTGAATTTTAAGGTAAACTTGATAAATGAAAAGTGCTCTAAAAACTTTGGCCAGTGAACTAAAACTACCACAGTATTGATATGTAAGATAATAGAGTTTAAATAAATTTGTATTTTACCGAAACTTTGATATTTCAATTTAACCTTCCATATACATAAAAAGACTTACATAAGAGCTATGGTATTGAAGAAAAATAAATAGGCCTTCTGAGAGTATTTAGTTATTAAAAAACTATGAGAGTACCTGGCGAGAAAAT